ACAGGCTCAGGATGTATACAAAGTAAGCACCCTGGCTTCCTGCTGAGTCACTTAGCCAAACCTCTAGACTCCCCAAGTTGACACAATGTTTCAACCATAGCAACATGATATCTTTCTTGTTTTGTGGCCAGGACATCTGGTTGAGGTTGAGGTTGAGGTTGAGGTTGAGGTTGAGGTTGAGGTTGGGGGTGGGTGGGTGGGGTGGGTGTGTAGTCTGATCTGGAAGGTCTTGGCTTAAGGTTCACTTATAGTAGGTTTCAGAGTATGTACCACAGGATGTCCCACCTCAAGGGGTAGGGGTGGAGGATGGATTCCAGATAGCCTCAGGGAGAGAAGCAAGGTCACCTTCAGTGAGGCGAGGAATGACAGGTGCACAGGACAGGTGAGGTTAGGTGGTGAACCTATGGCACATGTGTTACAGTGGGCTGTTTGTATCACTGAAAGTTCTAAAAGGTTCGCCATCACTGGGCTAGGAGAAGTGGGGGATGGGTTAAAGTGTAAGTCAGGGCTCAGTCAGGTGCTGCCAGGCTTTAAGGGGAAATTACTTTATTCAGAGGAATTGAGAATTGAATGAAAGGTATGTTAGGCAAAATGGCTCCCTAAAGAGGTCCAGACCCCAGCTCCCAAACCCTGGGAGGGTGTATAGGACAGTTGTAAATCATGTGAAGATGAAACTCTTGGTATTTGTAAATATGTTGGCCTGACATAGCAGAAGGGACTTTCCAGATGTGATGAAGGATGTGGCTCTTTATAGGCAGACTGTTCTGGATTATTTAAATAGATTCATGCAATCTCTTAAGCCCTAAAAAGCAAAAAAACTTTGGCTGAAAGGAAAACAGGATGCTATATAAGGGTGAATTGGAGAGATTCAGAGTGGGAGACTTAGCCATAGCTGAAGCGGAGCTGTGTGGAAAGTCAGAGAGGGTGCACAGGCCCCTGCCTGATAAACCAGCAAGGGAGTGGGAGCCTCAATCCTGCAGCTGCAAGTACTGAGGTGAGTCAACAGCCGGAATGAATGCAGAGTGTATTCTTCTCCATAGCCTTGAGAAAGTTGCATGGCCCCACTGTCCCTTGTTTTTTGTTTTTTGTTTTTTGTTTTTTGTTTTTTTATTGTGGTAATTGTGGTCTTGTCCCTTGGTTTTGGATTTGTAAGACTCCAACCGAAGGACCTTGCTAAGCCGCACTATACCCAGCCACTGAGCTTCGGAACCCTGATGTAAGAAACCTGTGTTGTTAAACTATTAGATGTTCAGTACCTTATTTCAGCAGGGAAATAACATTATCAGATTTTGTGTTATTAAAAGATGACTGCTGTGTACACAGTGGATCTGGAGAGTAAATTCAGAGCCAGGGAACTTGGTTGTTGGGAGTACTGTGATGGTGTGGCTTAGGGTAGTGGTGGTGGAAAGAGGATAGAGTTTGAGGTTTCTTTGGGAGGTCACAGTTGCCAGAGCTTGGCCAATGGCCAGATGTTTGGGATGGAGGAGCCTGCCTGGATGACTGCCAGGGTGACTGGCTTGGGTGCTGGGTGATGCTGAAGCTGCCCCTTGAGATGAAGACGAGTGGGTTGGAAGATGACATGGCATGACCTCCACGCCTTGATTCCATTAACTTCTAAGATCTTTTTTTTTTTCTTTTAGATCATGTAGACAATTGTAAATCATGTGAAGATGGGACTCTTGGTATTTGTGCGCAATCTGCTGCTAGCCCTCTGCCTCTTTCTGGTACTGGGATTTTTGTATTATTCTGCGTGGAAGCTGCACTTACTCCAGTGGGAAGACTCCAGTAAGTATAGTCACTCTAACCCACCGCAGGAACAGCCTGTTGCAGGTCAGTTATGGTTTGTATGCAGCTGCAATGCTGTCTTATTCTTCAGAGATGGGCGGTGAGTGCAATCGGAATATTTCTGGGTCTTTTGCTTAGGAATTATCTAATCTTTTAGTTGCTACAGGCTGAAAGCATCCTTCTTTTTCTTTCTTTTTCCTTCTTTCTTTTTTTAACTGCATGCCATGGCAAACCTTAATTCTTTTTATAAGCCCAGTGAGAATGTGCTATTCTTCAATGAAAAACCCATATTTCTAGTTCTTAAAGGCTTTTGTTCTTTTTAATTTCCATAGTGTATTATCACTCTGATTTTGCATTTATTACCTTAGGGTTTGGTACTGAAATTTTTTTTTTTTCTGCCCTCAAAACATATATCTTTACTTTTTCTTTGAGTTTTCTATTTTCATTTTAATATTGTGTTTTATTTTCTTTAATGAAATTTCGTCTTCTTAATATTTGTATTGAATCTACACCCAACTCAAGTATTGGCTTCTTTTTTCTACTCGGTCTTGATACCTTTCTTCCCTCTGTGCATTTGGTCTCATGTGTTACATAGGGCTCCTCACGTAGCCTGACCCTTCTGACTTTTTCTCTTTGCCCAGTGTTCCTTGTTACAGACTTGCACTTGAAGGGTTGACATTCATAGTGCCCAGTTTGTACATTCTGTTCTTGGCTGTAGATGGAAAGTAGTACAAGTGGTTGTGTTTTCCTTTTAGCTGTTTTGTCTAATCTGAACTTGGTTCAGAAAACACTGGGTGGCCTATCCTGATTCCCAGTGAGTTGTCTTCTCTAAAGTAATTTTTTTACAAACTCAAAACCAGTGTAGAAGCCACCTGAGTAGTTTGTCTCTAGGTCCAAGGCTAAAATGAGTTGGAAGAGGCACCTGGCACAGGCCTGCCACTGTGCTGAGGCTAACTTGGGAATTATTCCTGTGGGATAGTTCGTTTATTTCTCATGGCCCAAACTACTAAGCAGTTTCAAGCCAAGTTTTAAAATATAGTGTCCTGTCTTTTACTGTTTTACGTAGAATTTTAAGTGCCTCTTAAATGTTTAGCTTATAATTACCACTAATTACATTTTAAGAGTGTATTCAAATTTCTCTGCATTTTTTGTTTGTTTGTTTTGCTTTTTGAGACAGGGTCTCACTGTATATTCCAGGCTGGTCTTAACCTTGCTGTGTAACCTAGAGTGGTTTTGAACACCTGCTTCTCCTGTTTCAGTCTTCCAAATGCTGAAAATATAGGCATGTGCCTCCACATCTGGCTTCACTTGGTTTTTTTGTTTTTTTTTTTCTTTTTGAGACAAGGTCTCACTATGTAGTTCAGGCTGGTCTTGAACTCACTTTGTAGCTCCGGCTGGCCTGGAACTCACAACGATCCTTCTGGCTCAGCCTCATGAGTGCTGGGATTACAGGCGTGCGCCACCGCACCCGGCTTCACTTGTTTTTAAAGTCAAGGAGACTATCCAAGATAAGCAGCCATTTGAGCCATGCTCTGTATTGCAGGCATTCTCTATATTCAAAATGGTGATTCATCTGTGCAGGAAATGTGTGCAAAGAACAGAGGTCTCTTTCAGAATATAGTAAAGACTCAGTAATATTTTCCTAGGAAGGGAAAGAAACTAACATTGAAGAAGATGCGTTGTGTGTAATTTTATCTCACCTGATTTAGTTCTTGCTGAAATTCTGTGAAGATGTCATTATATTCCCATTTTCCAGTTGAGCAAACTGAAGCACTTAGTGTAACTAATTTAGCAAGGTTATACAGCTAATTATTGGAACTGGAATTGAAATCTGAATTTCTGGCTTTAAAACCCACAGTCAATTTTTGGGGGAAAATGTATAATAAATGGTGAAGGGAGGATTTGATTTTCTATTCCACCTGGTAAAAAGAGAGGAAAGAGGCTTAGAGAAGAAGTGGTAGGAAGTATTAGGAGGAGGATGGAGAAAGGAAAAGGAGGAAAATAGGAGGGGAAGAGAGGAAGGAAGTCTTTCAAAAGAAGACTTGAGAGGTTTACTATTTTGGGAGGTGACAAGGTGTTGCTAACAAGTGCTATATGTAAGCTTCAGTGGTTTATTACTAGTTTCCTGATGTCTTTAGCAGTGTTAGCTAACTAACCAGTATTCTCAGCATTTCTGTTACTCTGTCTCTCAAGCCTCTTAGATGTTTGATTTTGAGTAGGTTTTCTGTAGCAATATTTCTGTGCTTCAGTATCAGGACAGAGTAAGAGGACCAAGGCTGGGTGTTTTACTGCCAGAAAGGGTCAAACAAGTTCAAGCTGAAGGGCTTCTGGACCCAGATGACTGCTAGGTTGTGAGTTTTAAGCTATAGTTTAGTAATATTGAAGATGATGATGCTGTCCTTTTTTCTGAGGACCTTAGAGGACACTTTGAAGTTTGAAATGTAAGTGTCTTTAACATTGAGTTACTTTTTCTTCTTTTTTATAATAATAGTTACCTATTGAATTCCTTCATAATGAGAAAGGAAACTAGAGTTTTTATTACTAAATTATTTATCCAGTAAGCAGCATGTTCCTATTATGGTCCATGTACTGTCCCAGGTAAACTGGATATAGATGACCATACACGCTGTGATTGAAGTATATGATGAATGTTTAAACTTTTGTTTTGTTTTGTTTTTTGAGACAGGGTCTCACTATGTAGTTGATGCTGGCCTGGAACTCATAGTGATCCTTCTGCCTCAGTCCTCTGAGTTCTGGGGTTATAGGTGTGTCCCACTTCTCCTGGCTTTAAATTTTAAAAATTTATTACTGTAAAAGACGCATTGCCATTAAGTTGTCTCAGAGTGTATCCCCTAGTTTTGAACACACTTTCCCACAGTCCTTTGTACTTTCTGAAGCAGTTCTGAAAGACCTGTGTATCCTCATCTGCCTTGTTCACCGAATCTGACACCATGCAATTTCTGACTTGTCCTCAAAATTAACATGGCCTTGAAAGGTGAATGCTTTGAATTGATTGAGGATGAATTTGTTTAAATCAAATGTAATGATTTGGTGCTATTAAGAACACCATAGGCAAAGTTAATATACTGGGAAAAGACACTTTCAGTATTTAAAATTCACAGAGGTTGGTATCTGGTATTCAAAGTACTTTTGCCACCAACAAGTAAAGGGCAACAACCCAATAAAAGCTTAGAAAAAGAATTTGATGGGCACTTTACAAAATTGGGAAACGCATACAGCTAAGCAAATAAAGAGATAACCAAACTCATGGGCTCTAAGAAACATAGAAATTAAAACAAAACATTAGCCACGTGCGGTGGTACATACCTATGGGAAGCTGTTTGGGAAGCTGAGGCAGGAGGACTGCAATTTAATGAGATCCTATATCAAAATAAAACTCTTTAAAAGGGCTGGGGATGTACCTCACTAGTAGAGTGTTTGCCTAGCATGTATGAGGGACTAGGTTCAATCCCCAGTACCACCACTGCCACCAACAAATCACTTTATACCTCTTAGACGGACAAAAATTAGAAAGCTGGGTAATATCAAATGTTGGCAGGTATGTGAAACTGCTGCATCTTATAGCATTTGCTGGTAGGAAAGTAGACTGCTACAGCCATTCTGGAGAGCCATCTAGTAATATTGACTTAAGTGTATACATACGCTTTAGGCCCAAGTGTAACTATTCTCCTTTGTATTCATCACAAATTTGAGGTTCTCGTAGATTACATATCAGTCTGGATAGCAAATATTTGTATTAAAAAAAACCCAAAACCTAGCCCCGCTCCGGAAAGTTTGAGTCAAAAAAGGAAACAAACCCCATGTGTGCCGGTGGACGCCTGTAATCCGAGCACTCAGGAGGCTGAAGCAGGAGGATCACAGGAGTTCGAGGTCAGCCTGGGCTACACAGAGTTTAAGCCCAGCCTGAATTACATAGCAAGACCTTGTCTCAAACAACCAAAAAGGAAGCAAAGTAGTTTTATTTCTGTAAATTAAAAGAAAGCATGAAGATTCTTAGATAGGCTTCAAAAACCATAAACTATAAGATGAAAAGTTGATAAGCTTTACCAAAATTAAAATTTTCTACTCTTTGAAATATGCAGTCCTACCTAGAGAATGAAAGAGCAAGCCACAGAGTGGGAAAAAATTCAGCGCTCTAAATTACAGTATTCAGTACTTTCAATACTTGTATATGTTTATATCTAAGATATATAGTTTTTTATAAGTTTACTAAGACTGTAAACACCTTAATCAAAGTTGAGTAGATCTGAAGACACATTTTGTAGAACAGGATGGAAGAATGACTCATAAAAACTTGAAAAGATTCTCAGCTTTATTAATTGTCAGGAAATACAAAACCACATTACCCATTAGAGTAGCTAATGTTTAAAAAAACGTAACAAATTTTTGTCAGGGCTATGAAGCCTCATGTGCTGTGATTGCAGATGTAAAATGGTACACTCACTTTGGAAGCTGGCTTGGCAGTTTCTCAAAACAATAAGCATACACTTGCCAAATGATACAGTTATTCTAGTCATAAATATTTATGCAAGTGTCTTGGTTACTTTTCTCTTGTTGCTGAGACAAAATACCCCACGCCCAAAATTAAGGAGGGAAAGGTTTATTTAGCTCACAGTTTGTGGAGGTTTCAGTCCATATGGCTGGCTGCAAGGCAGAGTGGCACATGGCAGAGGGCAGCAGTTCATGGCAGTGGCAGATAGCAAAAGCAACAAGAGCCAAAGGGAGGAGTGGTGGCAAGCAGCCTCTTTCTCTCCCTTACATATAATATGCAAACTATATGCCCCAAGGTGGGTGTAGCGCTCACACCCATGAATCAGTCATAAACTCTAGAAGCCTGCCCATGACTGCATGAGGCTTTGGGAGGACATCTAGAACCAAACCATAACATCAAGAAAAGTGAAAATATTTATCTATATAAAGACCTGTACTTAAGTGCTGATAACAGCTTTATTCCCAATATCCCCAAACTAGAAAATACC